GGTAGTTAAATGATTTTTAAATTCCACGAAATTATTTCGATTTTCGTCGACGTTATTTATTGCTGCTTCTATGGTTACCCCCTCCCGTTCCTCTAACTACTGGATTTCAGGTAGAAGAGCGATTCTTGACTGCAGCACGACAACAAGCTGGCACTGCGGACGCCGATCTACAGAATGCCCTCGGAATACTGTATAATTTGAGTAGAAATTATGAGCGGGCAGTGGAGTGCATGAAACTCGCCATCGCAAGTAGACCAGAGGTGAGTATCGGGGTTGTATTCGAGAGTTTTTGGGCTGGTTCGTTTTTTGGAACGTACCAGATGGGGACAAAGTCAGTAAGGGGGGGGGCTATACGACAAGCTTTAAAGGAAGTGGGTACGTTTGCTAGAGGCGAGGATGGTTCCCAGCGTCATTGGTGGAAGGGTTGCGAGAGGGCGTTTAGTTACGCTCACCCACCCCTTCCACCAGTGACGTTGGCTACCCCCTCCCCACCCCCACCATCGTGCCCCTGCTGTTGAAATGACTGAATACGCCTTTTCCCTATTTTATGAAAGGGCACGGACCAGCAGACTGGCGTAGTCGACCACACTTGGTATCCCCCTCCCTTAACCACCTTGTCCCCGCTGCCTGTGCTGCTCTTGGATGAGGTTTCTCTTCAGGATGCCCGATTATGGAATCGTCTGGGCGCCACATTGGCCAACGGTGATCGTACTCCAGAAGCAGTAGCGGCATATAGAGAAGCACTACAGCGATATCCGCTCTATGTGAGAGCTCGATATAATCTCGGTATCAGTTGTCTGCACCTCCAAAGCTACAGGTGAGCAAGAGGGACTTCTTTCACAAGTAGTTCTTGGTCAGCTAATCAATTCTCACTTTCAGAGAGGCCGTGGAACATTTCGTGTCAGCGTTGGAATTACAAAAAGGCGGCAAAGAAAGCTCGTCCATTTGGCCTACGCTGCGTTCGGCAACCATAAGAATGCGTGGCGCTCCAATGGATCTGTTGCCTGCACTGGATCGACGGGATCTGAACGCTTTCAAAGCAGCGTTAGGTGGCGTGAAGA